TGACACGCCCCCTTCTGGCAATTAGGCATGAAAACAACACAACATTACACTCATGCGTTTGCCCTCCTCACCAAATTGCAGCCTTCAGGAGAGAAAAAAACTTTGACCACAAAGAATGTGGAACATTTGTTTTGGATGTGCTCTGCAGAAGATAAAAACTAATCCAGTCTGTGCAGACGAGGCGTGGATGTCTTGATGTTCGGTTCCCAGTATGAGTCAAGCCTTTGTTTCTCATAATGCAACCAGCATATTTCACAAGAGCCTCCTTGCCCTTTCTGTGAAAATGATGCTTTTAACCTTTTGTCTGACTAAATCCAGACTGAACGTTGCTGTTATTGAACTGAGGACCTGATGAAAGAGACGGGGATCAAAATGACAACAGCCTGACTTCTGTATTTAAATGTTTTTGTGTAAAGACGAGGAACTCACTCCCGGGGTGTTTCTTGTGTTTTGCAGGATGTGAACAGTGTTAACGTGGAGCCCCAACCCGGCACCAGCCTGGCCACGGAGGAGGCTGAACCCGCCCCCATCGAGCCCACAGAGGGTAAGCAGCGTGCTCCCCTGGCTGTGGCTAAACACTGAAACATCAGCTGGGAATATGGTGCAATCTGTGCTCACATGTTGCTTGCTGCTATTTCAGAAGCAGACCGTTTATCAGGGGACTTTTTGTGTTTGTGTAAAAGCAGCAAACTGCTATTTGTGTCCTTGCACCGAGACACTTTGCAGGACTTTAATCCCCCGCTGCTGCTCTCTGTAAACATCACTCCTGTTATTGGATGAAGCAGAAATGTGTTTTCAGCAAAGCTGTCGGCCATGATGACAGTTTACTCACCAGGTGAATCAGACCATCAGGAGCTTCTTTCAAAGCCTCAATTAAAAGACACACCAATATCACTCTAACATATTATAAATGCTGCCACAAAACTTGGTACAGATGAGGGTGACTCCTTCATTTCCTTCTTTTACTTATGCAGGGGAATATTTCAATATTATTAAAGGTCACATATTCTCCTCCTTTTAATCAAATTTAAATGAGTCTCAGATCACCTAAGACATGTTTGTGAAGTTTCTTGTTCTAAATCCATTCTGATCCTTTATTTGATCATGCCTATAAACCCTCTATTTCAGCCCTGCTCAGAACAGGCTGTTTCTGTGTCTGTACCTTTAAATATGTAAATGAGATGTGTCTAACCACGCCCCCTCTCTGGAAGGGCTTGGTGTCTCTGGCTTTCTTGCTCCATGTCCTATTGTTTACGGTGAGAAGGCAGACTCAGAGGTTAGAACAAACACCTAGCTGTGGGAGTGTCACCCACCTGGGGGAGGGGTTACTGCCCTTTGTGATGTCATGAAGGGAAAATCTCCAAACGGCCTGTTTGAGCACACATTTTCTGAAAAGTGGAGCAGGTAAAAGATGGAGAGGATGGACTTTTCTCATCATTGGGGGGTTTATAGACAGACTAGAGACACATGTTAGAGTTAGAAAAACATGGTGAAGTGGATTTTACACAATGTGTGACCTTTTAATATATCTTTGTAAATAGCTTTAAACATCTATTATATTATTTTCTATTGTGTTTAGTTTTATTTTTTTATATTCTTCTAAATTCTTAATGTAAGAGCTACTGAATTCTGAACGGTTTGTGCGTTGAACTTTGCTTGTAATTCATGATTTTTGGTCTTTTTATTTGAGACATTGTTCAGGAAAACATGTGTGACATTTTAAAACTCAAAACGATATTTGATTTGTTTTTAGATCCTGGGAAGGATCACGAGGTGCCTGCTCCCGGCATGATGTGGCGAGTGACTGGCGGCCTCTTCAACGTCACAAAGGGAGTCGTGGGTGCCGCGGTGGGCGGAGTCGTCTGGGTGGGCGGCAAGAGCCTGGAGATCGGCAAGTCGGCTGTAACCACGGTGCCCTCGATGGGGGTGGGGCTGGTGAAGGGCGGGGTGTCTGCTGTGGCCGGCGGCGTCTCCTCGGTGGGATCGACGGTAGCCAGCAAAGTCCCGTTTACATCCAAGAGGAAAGACAAGGCCGAGTGAAGAAGGAGAGGAGGGTGATGGTGATGATGATTGATGATTGATGATGATGATGATGATGATGGACTTGCCCCGCCCTGAGCCAACAGAAAGAGACTGCCAGCTGATTACCTGTCAGTCAAACTCCACAGTGCCTTCTGATACCTTCCTCGGTCTGCAGAGATCCAGACTTTGATGCTACACTCAGTGCGAGATAATACAAGTAGTGCTCCGTTACCATGACAACCAAGATTTACAAGAAACTCTCAGTCAAACATTTCATTGAAAGCTCTCCTTCTCTGACATGGAGTTGTAAATTCTGGAAGTGAATCTCTGGCTTCAGGCAGGTGACATGGACTGGACTCCACCTGGACGACTTTATGAATATTTTATCTGTTTACAATCCGGACTGAGGCGTCTCCAGTCCTCCTTTTTTCTCCTCCTCACTCTTTTCAAAACTACACATATGTTGGTGATATGTTTCTGAATTAAGATGCTGAATTTTTTTTTAAAACATGTATTAAAGTGCTGTTGACGAGTTAAGTGTTTGCTGTTCAATGAAAAATTAAACGTTTCAGTGCTGGAAGCGGGGGGGGGATCAGAAACGTTCTTCAGTCGGCAGCCTTCTGTGTCTGACCTCCTTTCATTCATGGAAGAGCCCGAGGCGGAGTTTTAACCCGGCAGCCTCAGAGCTGCATGTTTGAACACTTCTCTGAAATGAATGTCTGAAGACTGTTGACGCAATCATAAACACAGGCTCAGGCCTTTTCCACAGCTATGTTTAGTTTTCAGTTTGTGTGAAATGTTCAATTGCTGCATTTGACCAAAATTCATGAAAACAAAACATTTTGTACCATTTGACTCACTCTTGCTTCTTTGAAAGAAAAAGTGCCCTTTGTTGTCTGAACTGTTCAGTCGGTGAAATGTTGACCTGTACCTTTTAATCAGGAGGTGAAAGCTGTGAGTGCTTTGGTACAGACAACACATTCTTGAGCTTTAATGAAATACCAGCATTTCAATGCAACATTTGGAGCGAGGGAGAGCTGTTGCTGATGGGTCTAAACTTTGTGAATGTTTTGTTAGTGTCTTATTTTTTTCAATATATCAATAAAGTAGTTTGAAAGGTTAAAGCTGCACTGTTTTCTTGTAAACACTTTAAAACTCAAACATGTGATGTGTCATTTCCTTTCTCATTAAATTCTTGCAGACCTGTTTATTTCTTAAGTCATAGTTAATCAACTCTCAACAACTTGCAGTCCTTTTCTTTAAGCCTCTTTTTGCACATTGCAGCATTCCTTTGCAGGTTACCTCCCCGAGTTGGATGAGAAGACAACACTCTCAAGAACAGTAAATAAGCTGCAGATGTTTGGCTAACTTTTTGTGCATCGATGAGACTTTGTGGTTTTTGCTATTAACCCTGAAAAGAGATTTGCATGCAAAGCTTATTCCAGTGAGCGTCTGTTCATGTCGGTGTTGTTAGGCCTGCATGGGAGAAATAAGATACCTGATAGTCAGTGGATGCAGGTAAACAGAAGCACAGCTGAACCTCAATTTTATCCACGTGCCAGAATAAGGTCATGAGCAGTTTACATTGTAATGTTATATCAGCTACATATAAAAAATAATGTGCCCATCAAATAATTTGTCTGGTATTACATTTCAAACCCTCAGTCATGAGAAAAGTCCATCCTCTGCGTCTTTTCTCTGCTCCACTTTTCAGAAAATGTGTGCTCAAACAGGCCGTTTGGAGATTTTCTCTTCATGACATCACAAAGGGCAGTAGCCCCTCCCCCATTCAGTATGCAGTACGTACTATTCAGTAGGAGTTTCAGTATACTGAACTCTTGTGGTCATTCAGTATGCATTTTTTGGGTCCACCTCAGTATACTGAACATTTCAGTATGGATACTAACTTCCGGGGTTTATGCAGTATGGATCGGATGCGTGCTTTCAGGAAATGAATTGTATTTTACCACCCACAATGCTGTGCGAAATTAAACGTAAATCGTCACTTCCACCACGTCTGCCTCCAAATCAAAACAAACGAGCGTGGATTAATTGAATCAATTTTTAATGTAGAGTTAAAGTCCCGACTGAAATCACTACCTTAAATTAACAACAGAAAATATAACAAATGTCTTCATTATTATAAAACCTTCCCCCCTCTATTTAAGTAATGATTTAACTATTTAAATGCGTCTTTATTGGTTTATTTTATATTCTGTATATTACTGTCTTTCATTTGTACTTTCCTTTATGTACTGTATGTTATTTAGTTATTTAATCTGCCTTTTACTTGATTTACATTGTAATATTGTTTTTTGTTCACCTGACTGTATATGCGCATTACTCTTCTTGAATAAAGCTCAACAAAAATAACGGGTGAATGCGGTCGGTTCAGGAAACGTAAATGACGTCACTTCCTTACTGAATGAATCAGAAGAAGTAGGAACAAATATCTGCCTACTGTGTGCGCATACTGAATAGTAAGTACTAAACAGTATACAGCACGGATAGTAGCTACTGCCTACTGAAAGATTGAGTATGTACTTGGCAATTCGGATACAGCCTAGGACATGGAGCGAGAAAGCCCGAGTACAACCAAGCTCTTCCAGAGAGGGGGCGTGGTCAGACACAGCTCATTTACATTTAAAGGTACAGACACATAAACAGCCTGTTCTGAGCAGGGCTGAAATAGAGGGGTTTATAAACATGATGAAATACAGGATCAGGGTTGATATAGAACAAGAAACCTCACCCACATGTTTCGGGGAGCTCTGAGACTTATTTTTTTTGTTATAATTGGTTATTGACAAAAACAATCACTGTAAAATGAGATAAGTACGTTAAATATCTCGTTATCCAGCTGTCAAAATAAAGACTTTTACTTTTATAGCTGACATTAGAGGGCAGTAATGCTCACATGGAGCCTTGAAGATGCAAAAGACGAAGACAGAAGAAGAAAACAGTCGCGAACGCGGAAGTAAACCGGAAGTAAGGCGGGACTTCGTTGGGGCTGTAGTGTCCACATGTGAGTGTCCACATGTGTTTCTAACGTCAGCAGAAAACAATACTGAATAATGATAACAGCTTGTTGAAGACTGTCTGCTTCATGTGAGGAAATAAGGTAAAATATCTTCATGTAATTTAGCTTCAGCTGCTTTGGCTAACATCGTTTATATCCGAAACTTCTGGAAATGAACTTGTGTGCTGACGACAGTAGTAGATGTAACATTTGACTTGCTATGTTATTATATATTAGTCAGCTGATTACATAGATCTCCAACATCAAAACATGTATGAATAAAGCTTTTCAAAGTCTACAAATGCTGGTATTAAACTCACTGTGAGTAATTTAGTTTTTCACAAGTGTTACGGTGTAAAAAGTGACCGTGCTAACTGGTGACTTCTAGCCGAGCGTGTCTGTGGTTGTCGTGGTTACAGCAGAGGTTAATCAGAATCAGATTTGGCCAGTGATGCTCACAAGGTATTTGACTTTGACAGACTGTGCTGTCAGTGACAACAACAAATACCTGCAGGGTGCCAGTGTCTCACCTGCTGTCTCATGCTGTCTCACCCTCACCTGCTGTCTCACCTGCTGTCTCACCTGCTGTCTCACCTGCTGTCTCACCTGCTGTCTCACCTGCTGTCTCACCTGCTGTCTCACCTGACAGTCAGGAAGTTTGTGATCCACTGAGATGTTAAAGAGTGAACGTGTCCCTACTACCAATGCCTCTTTGTTTAGTTTTTCACATATAAGAAAAAACACATAAAGACATTTGTTAGGGGCACTCTCTGTCTTCAACATCTGTTGTAACTATAACAACCACAGATGTATTTGCCTGAAAGTCTGCTGCCAACATGGTCACTCGTTGAACCACTTTTTTTTTTTTCCTTTTATTTGCTGTTTTTCAGACACTTGTAGAAAATGTTGAGTGAATCTGAGGCTGCGGAGCTGCTCTCCTTCCTGGGCCCTGGTACGCGCCTTGATGTCAAAGGACAGGCCACAGGGTACATCCTGGGCCTGTCAGCACACAGGTAGGAGACTGAGGAAGAACGTGTAGCCTACTGTAACTTTTTAATGTAACACGGCAGCTTTTGGCCCTTGTTTAAGTTCTCTGCTCTCCAGTCTACCCAAAATAGCACATGTCACTACGCTGTTCATCTCCCTCCACTGGCTCCCGGTTACTGCTCCCATCATATTTAAAACCCTGCTGCTCGCTTACAATACAGCATCAAAACGGCGCCTCCTTACCTAAATTCTCTCAGCCAGGTGTACACGCCTGCACTGAAGCTAGGCTTTACAGGTGAAAAGACAGGGTTGTTTGCTAATTTTCAGAAAAACAGAGTTAAAAATCAACATCGGGGTAAATGTACGCTGAATTGAGAATGTTCTCAACACATCATATCTGGTCCGCTAGCGAGCCACTTCGCTTCAGCACACCACATACGTGTTCCTCCACCTGCAGCACACACTGAATATACCAAAATATCCCTTTAAAGAAACACATGCTTGACATAACAGAAAATAAACACATGAACATCTGTCGGGGGGTGGGCGCGGGTGGATGTCCCCCTCCTCCTCAAGCTCTGAGCCTGGGTCAGTATCTTAAACGTTAACTAATGTATTCACTGTTTCCTGTTTGTTCTTTTTCAGTGATGGTTGCCGCTTCTTCCGCTCTAAACCAGACTTACTAAGGGCCCTGTTCGCTCTCACGTCAGACCCCTCCATCGCCATAGTGAAGGACTGTTACCACGTCTTCATCAACCTGACAGCTGACGAGACTCTGCATCAGGTAATCGGTCTTCATTGAACATCCAATCCCAAATAAACACCCATGGGCCTTCTGAGCGACTGATAGTGAGAGGCTGTTGTCATAAATAGAACAATACACACAACTTAACAGAGATGTGTTGAATTTTTGATAAAGACAAACAAGTAGGAAGTAAGTGTTTTTGTTTGTGTCTCATTCAGGTTTTGGTGGCAGATGTCAACATTCTTCCAGTGTTATTAAAAAACCTACAAGATCCAGAGTACCCGTTCTCTGATCAGATCTGCACCATCCTGTCCAACCTGAGCCGCCACAAGAAGACCTGCAAGACTGTGTTCAAGGTGGGTCTGAGTGACGGGTCTGGACATTTAACAGGAGAGGGGAAGAGAGTAAATCCTTCACAGGTCCGCTAATCCTCTCTAAATCCAGTGCAGGATTCTGGGAGATAAAGAGTGTCTTTGCTGTTTCAGGTTCTCCAGGAGGGAGTCGGTCTGGCTCAGCTGGTCGAGATCTTCTGCACTGAAGGTTACAATAAAAAGGCCAAACTCCACTACCTGGGTCCTCTGCTGTCCAACCTGACCCAGCTGCCCGAGACCAGAAACTACCTGCTGGACAAAGACAGGTGACTGATAACTGATGTCTAGACAGAGGGGAACATCTGTGCACCCTCGTTTTTATGTTAACAATGTCATATCGTACCATTTTTTTTTTTTTTGGAAAAATGTGTCGATTTCTACAAATGTAAAATCAGAATCAGCTTCATTACACCGTCTCCTAACGGTGGATGTAGCATCGCGCACGATTGCAGGCTCGCTGTCCACACTGCATCCGTTAAATATTTAAGTCCCCACTCTGTTTCTCCTTGCAATCAGTGTAACATCTGGTGCTTTTGTTTCAAAGGTTGACAAACTGAAGTGTGCTGCTTTGTATTGAGGAACTGCTTTGTCATGAGGTCATAATCTTTCATTTAAAGAAAAGGGTGGTATATTGTTCAGTAAATAGACCTTGTGAAGAGCTCAACTCTTTGAAAGACTTCTATATAAAAGTTTAGTAGTGACCAGCAAAGTTTGGCAAAGAGACTCGCGGTCTGTGGGTCAGTACTTCAAAACTTGTACAGTAGGCTGAAAGCTCAGCGACCGTACTGAAGCTAGTAGGAGTGCAAACTCCACAAAGTGAAAACAGACGGTACTAAAAGAGCGACACAGTAGCACTGAAACTGCACGTTGTGGACTTTGCAGAACTTAAAAGACTAAAATCTCTGTGCGTCTTATATTCCCGATTTTATGTTCAGTATTTCTCTCTGTATTCCAGATGTGTAGTCCAGAGGTTGCTGCACTTCACTCAGTTCCAGGCATCGGTGGTGAGGAGGGGCGGAGTCATCGGCACCCTGCGCAACTGTTGCTTTGAACACGGTGAGCACATTCTGTGTCACATGTCGGGGGGGGGGAGCATCCGGTTGAAAGACCCCGCCTTCCTAGCCTGAGGAGACCAATCAGGCCACACTAAAATGAAACGGTGTGGTCTACAAAGGATTTGCTGTTTGCATCACCAGCTGTATCTGCCGTACCCTTTTGTTTGTTAGTGCTGCCCCTGGTCGCCTAGCAACCTCAACAGCTGCACCAGAACAAGCTAATACAGCAAAGTCATGTAACTGTACCTATAGCTTTTAAGATAACTTTAAGTTTCAAGGCTGTTTTTTTAACTTTTCTATCTGTTATTATTTGATTGAGTTGAAACCAGTTCCTTACTTTGGTTCGCTGAAATAATTATAATTTGAGTTAAATCAGAGATGCTTCACTCTGGATGTCCTCACTGAACTGCAGTCATCTGATTTCAACCTCTCTTCACTCTCTCCAGATCATCATGAGTGGTTACTTAGTGAGGCTGTGGACATCCTGCCCTTCCTCCTGCTGCCGCTGGCCGGTCCAGAGGAGCTGACAGACGAAGAGAATGAAGGTGAATGATTGTTTCTAAAAGATCAAGATTGTAGTAAATGAAGGGATTCATACGTTTGGTAGACATGAAGAGATCCACTAAGAAGCATTTCCTCCTGTGTGCCTGAGCTCTGTTGTTTGTCCAGAAATACTCCATGAGTCAGGCTGTTGCACTAGCAGACATTTCACTTCATTTAAATCAAACACATACATATTTTAGTTTGTTTTCCAACATAGCGTTGGCTCAAAACAACATTCCCATCAAGATGTTTCATAATCTTTGTATGCCTCTCATTGCTGACAGCCGTGGCTGAAGGCGGTCGATTTATGGGGTTGTTATGATTCAGTCCCATTCTTATGATCGAGTTAGGAAGGATTTTTTAATTTCAAAAGAATTTGGTAATCGGGGGTGCCTGTGGCATAGTGGTTAATTGCGCACACTCCACGGACGGAGTTTATAGTCTTCTAAGCAGGCGGCCCGGGTTCGTCCCTCGCTCTCTCTCTCTCTCTCTTCTGTCATTCTGTGTGAAACAATGATTGATATAAACTACAACGTGACTGCTGGGCGGAGGTTACAACCACAGAGCTGTAATTCAAGTTCCCAATATGAACCTACATATTTGTGACAGAGTTGATGAATGTCTTCAGCTTGTGGGGCTGAGTGGGTGTGCAAGTCAGAAAGTATTGAGACACAGACGCACTGGTTTGCTCAGATTCATGATTGAACAACATTTTGCTGATTGTCTCTTAAGTATGAATAACTCATCAGCGTCTCCACAGCTAAGAGTTACTCACTCACACTACTTTAGAAGAAGGATAAAGCGCTGGAGAAAAACCATCTCATCTCAATGGGCTCCCCCTCACACAAATAGATTTTAACATTTACAGATCTCCCTCATCTATTGACTCCTCTGAACATGTCACACTCAGTGAGGTAATCTCAAAATCTGCTAATAATGATGATGTTATCTGCTTTGTCCAAATCTGCAAATTTCTAAGAAACGGGGACTGAAAAATCTTTTTCATTTTGCCACTTTTTAAGGTTCATTTTGGAGCTTTTTCTGCATTTATTTTAGATACAGGACAGTGGATAGAGTCAGAAATCAGGGAAATAGATAGTGAGTAGGGAAGGACATGCAAGAAAAGAGCCAGAAAGGAGTCGGATTTGCACCCGGACTATGGCCTGGTGGGTGCGCTGATGTGGAGGTCGGACCAGGCCGTGCATGAATGCTGAAGGTTGGGGGAGCTCCGTCTACTTGAGAGCCTGTCTTCAGCTGCCATGACAAGTCCTCCTGAGGGGGCGAGGGGGGTGTGTACAATCCTGAAGAATGTCCGAGACATGAGAGCTCAGGAGCTCCCATGCAAATAAACATTACCTGTAAACTGTTCATGCACCTGCACATTAGAGAATATTTACATATTACTAGCAAGGGCAGGTTTTTTTAAAACATGAAAAGTAATCACAGCTACACAACCCTAATACTATGATTTCATGTCATGTCCAGGTCTGCCTGTGGACCTGCAGTACCTCCCAGAGGACAAAAAGAGAGAAGAAGACCCCGACATCAGGAAGATGCTTCTGGAAACACTCATACTGGTACGACACAACAAACACACACAGCAGAAACACACACGCCTACGCTCACGCTCCCTCATTAACCTCTTTGCTGTTTGTCTGTGTTGTGCAGCTCACAGCCACCAAAGCCGGCAGGACGACCCTCAGAGACAAGAACGTCTATCCCATCATCAGAGAGTTTCACCGCTGGGAGAAAGACGCCCACGTCGGAGCCGCCTGCGAGAAACTGGTCCAGGTAGAGACAAAAAAAAAATCATGCAACAAACCTTTAAAGCTGTCATGACGAACAGATTAACTTATTTCTGTCATTTATCAATAGAAAAAAAAAAAAAAACATATAACCTGTTCAAAGTGTACAGATGTTAATGTAGAGTAAACTGAACTTTAACCTCTTTGATGAACCCGCCCCTGCATTGAGAACTGCCTTCATAGACTCAGTCTTTTAGTGTGGTGTACCTGATACATATGACGACTTCTCTGCTCGTCCAGGTGCTGATCGGAGACGAGCCGGAGCAGGGGATGGAGAACCTGATGCAGGTGGAGATTCCTGAGGACGTGAAGGAGAAACTGAAGGAGGCGGACATCAGAGAGCAACAGGAGCTGGAGACAGAGCAGGAGAGGATAAGACAGGAGGAGGAGGAGGAGGAGAGGAAGAAAAGAGAAGCAGAGGGGGCGGACAGAGAACAGGAAACTGGACTGATACGCTGAAGAACATGATTAGAGAGGTGTCAGTAAACTTTCCCGGCTTTTTCTGTTGCATTTGTCACT